GACACGCTACGACACAACACCAAACTGCGACCAAGTATAATCGCGGAGTGGAAATGCATAATAGTGGTTAAGTCTAATTATCGATCCGGGCTCTAGATCTACTGTCTACTCAGTGAACTCCTATTATCTAGCAGGACTAAGCGAGTGTAGTGATTTCAGTGCAAAAGAAACAAAAAGCAAGTAATAGTCTGGTTCTTTTCAGGTTCAAAAGGTCATCCAGGTATGGCCCTCCTAGTGTGCAGCTAGTTTAGGTTATAAGGTCCCAAGTTACTCAAATTGATAGATGTTTGTGGAGAGATCTTTACTGGTTTGGACTCTCGACTAAAGTTATCCTGACCTCTTAGTTCGAATACCCTGCGGACGACTAACCTCCACCGGCATACACTAACCAAAGTTAAACATGCGAAACTTCCACCACTGGCCTTTATTCCAGTACGGAGCAGTGAATCGACTTCTCGACTAAAGCAGTCGCTTCACCACTTTCAATTAAAGGTTGCTCTTTTAACCTATGCAGAGACTATCATTCAAGGTTAAAACCGGAACTATACAGGTTTGATCAGGACTCATGTAATTCTGAATAATTCCTCAACTGAATTTATCAAATCAATCATTCATAACATGGGTTCATACAATCATTCCTAACATACACAGCTAGGATTCTTCATACCCAGATGAAATGTAAAATTACTCCATGGAGGGATGTGGGAACGTCATGCTCGGAGTAGACATTATCAGAATGACAATGGACAACTGCTCCTGGCGGCTAATTGGTACTCCGAGGTTGGGGAATCGAGCTCTTTGGTCTTCAGATCGCTCCAATCCATGCATTTGGGTTTTGCTTCGTCACTCTCTCTAGGGTTCTTTTCTGCCTTTGGAAGCCCAAAAATCCAAATCATTTTCAAATTTCCCGAGCAACCTTTAAATAGGCTGAGAATCCGCGACTTACTGCTGAAGTTACGGTCGTAGCTTTGTTCTCCCGCCTGTAACTTGCCAGAAACGGCGTCGTTGTGGCACTCCGTAAACCAAGAGTTCCTTGAGGTAGTTACGGTCTCAACCGTAACTTGAAGAGAGAGACCGTAACTTGAAAAACGTCCCTAGAACTGTTGACTTCGCCAACCAGGAGTTACGGGTGCAAGGGTTGAGTTACGGCCTAGACCGTAATTTCGTAGGTCATCCCGTAACTCCAGAAAGTATTTTGGAACTTAAGCCTTCCTCACTCGCCAGTTATGGCTCCTCGAGGGAAGTTACGGGCCAGACTGTAACTCACAAGGTCTGGCCGTAACTCCCAGGTGCTCGCTGCCCTTTGCTCCAAAGACCAAAATGTCTCGAAATCTCGCTCCATCACCCCGTTCACGCACTAAGACCTGAAACATCATAAACTAACACGCACAAGCGTAAAATAGGCCACGAGAATGAAAAACAAAGCTCAAACGGTCAAGAAATGACGGAAAAACATGTTCAAATATGGCGTTATCAGTCTCATTATCAATAGGTCAAGGATCAATTATCCGTTGTTTGGGTTAGGCTAAATGTCATATTTGATCACTCTATTTATAAATTATCGTAATTTCATTAGTGAAAACTAACATTGCATCTACATTTCAATAATGACATCTTTTGTCTGGTCTCATAAAAAAAAATTATTAGCGCCAGTCAAACCATGACCGCATGGTTTGCTCTACCACTGAGGTAGAACATGGTGAGCAATGTTGTTGAGCTAGGGCGTTTCGTTATCCTTGCCCTCAACGGTTTTAACACTTCCCTCCTAGCCTCTCTTGGTATCTATACAATTATGATGTATCCTTCCTTTATCACTCTGTCGTTTTATGTTCATTAGATTAGTAGTTCCCCGGCCTCTTCTTTTCCTGAATAATTACATTTCGGCAGGTTTTATCCTGAGTATTACTGTGCTTTGTCAGTGAACAAAACATACCAACTTTCCTCAATTACAAGCGTCACGTTGTTGGTCTCTGCTGAATTTTGCAGGAGTTCATTTTGAATAGACAGACGTGAGATTGAGATGGAGATGTTGTCCATCCTTGGTGTTTTTGGGTTGCTGTTCATATTGTTTGAGGTGTATCTATCTTTTATTTCATTTTGGGTGGTTTCTTTAGGTTGGTCATTTACTTCACAAAGTAAGTTTTGATCCGTTTCCCCACTCTGTTGCAAAGCTTTTTTACCTGCAGGTTATTCACTCTGTTTCCATAGTGAAAACCCAGCGATGGCGGAACGGAAGCGAACATAGGCGGACATAGTAAAATTAATATATCACACTATAAATAAAATTTTCAATTGAAATATCTAATCAACTGATATCACTCTCCTTAGGTCAAATCGATTTTGTGCTAAGTGTAGCAAGAGCATTTTTAGCTTTGAACTATGTTAAGTACAAGGTTCGAAGCCAAATTTGGTGATCACTTTGCTAACGAATGTTTAATGAAATACATTAAAAATTACTTATTTAAGTGTGTAGACAATGAATGTATATTGTTTTCTTTCAGAGTATGAAAATGTGTCATAGTTGTTTATGTAAATAATTCTTGAATTAGTTAGTTATTTCTTGATTATCTATGAATGACTTATTTGAATATTATTAATTTTAAATATATTTATTAATAATGAATTTATATCAACATTATAAAGTGAGGATACGGGTATTTCGAATCCTGCCTCCATCAAATGAATAATTAGTTTCAGTGAGTAGTTAATTAATTACCCTCTATTTTTTTGTCATAAATATTACAAGCGGGAACAAATAGATACAAGATAAAAACCTTTTCAGGTGATCTACAATATTATATAATGACAAAACATGGGTTGAAATTGTCTCATTTCAAATTTCGTGGCCTGAGAGTAATTCTAAGAAGGTCATTTTTTTGTCATAAATAGTTTCAGTGAGTAGTTAATTAATTACCCTGGTCAATTCAATGAAGAAATAACATTGTAACCAACTACGATACATTGTCTTATAAGTATTTTTTTATTAAAAATCTAGAAATATATTTGGTGATGATGCTTCTATATTTATATTTTATCTTAAGTTATTTTATGGAAAGAGATTATTTCTGAAATTGGAACTCAAGTAACATTCATTCAAACATTAATATTAAATTGTATGTGTAGTTTGGTTTAGACAAAATACAGAAGTGTAACCAATACATGGACCTTTGTGACAAGTATATTCATTTTTTGTGACAAATGTACAAATAATATAATGATAAAAATGAAAAATGAGAGTCTCATTTCAAATTTTCTGGTATGAGAGTGATCCTAGGAAAGCTCTTTTTCGTCATTGCGCCCAATTTATCTTTATATTATGTGTAGATTGTCACAAATAATTACTATATTTGTCACAAAGGTCCATGTTTTGGCTACACCATATGTATTTTGTCTAAACTGAACCATACATATGATACAATTTAATATTTAATGTTTGAATCAATATTATTTCAGTTTCGATTTCACAACTAATCACTTTCTATAAGATACATTTCCTATTTGGTTGGAGAAGCTCTTACTATAAGATACATTTAATGTTTTACGATTTTTCATTTGAAATTTCGTGAATTGAGAGTGAAAGTAGAAGAGTAAGTTTTTTTTTAATATTATTTCTGAGTTATATCAATGAGAAATAATAATTAAGCTTACAATTCTACCCAGGACCCCTAAAAGACTCTACTGAAGCTACCCCCAAGAAATCAAAAGATTCTAGCTCTACAAGAGACAAAAGCAGTGCTTTACGCGCCACTCTATGGGCAGCACTGTTGGCGGATCTAGGTACCGCCCTAAACTCTATACAAACAGACAAGAGCTAAGGATCTGGAGACACTCTCGTAACACCGGACCACCAATCGAGTCTTCTAAGACGCCTTGACGGACTTGGTTGACAACCACTTCGGAGTCGCCTTCGACTATCACGTGGGACAAGGATCTTGAGGCTACAAAGGATATAGCATCCCTGAAAGCTAGAAGCTCAGCTAGATAAGGGTTGACTATTCCTTGATGCTGCAACCCGACCGCCAACCTCACATGTCCATCTGAGCCCCGGATAACAAGTCCAATCGAACACCCGGAGGCACTAACCGCTGCGTCGACGTTGATCTTCAAAAAGCCTTCTGGTGGAGGGACCCAAGAGGTGGCTGAAATGTTTGGGAGTAGGGAGCTGCGGGGAGGAGGGGGAAGGAGACTGGAAATTTCGAGGACCTGGTTGTAGAACTGTCTGGCTAAGGAACGAATATGAGGTTGGGTAGATTCAAAGGTCACTTCATTTCTAGACTTCCAGATTCTCCTAAGTAAACAGACGCGTTGGAGAATGTGGAATGGGAGGTCTCAGTGACCATGACATGTCGCCACCATAGAGTAAGTTTGTCATCACAATTATTTATCTACTTCATATAAAAAAGTATCAATATCAATATTTGAACCATGGTCTCTTCAAACAAAAACAATAATCACAACCAATTACACTAAACAAATTTATTTTATCTACTTGAATTGTAAACATACACTAAGTGAAGATTTGAAAAGCAGATGACTTTTCCATCACGGTTAGCTAGCCTATTAAATCTTCTGAAAAGCAAAGTTTGATACGTGATTTATAATTTTTTATAACCTATACAATTTGGATAATCTTAAAATTTCAACCCAAATTTCATTGCTTGAAATAATGCATATCGAATTGCAGCACTGAATATGCAAAAACCATGTAGAATTCTTAAAATTAATATAAATTTTCAAATCTACTACGAAGCAATAATATTTTGTACAAACGACAGGTGAATGGTTCTCTAAACTTTTAGCCTGGTTAACTGCTAACGTTAAACTTTAAGGCCTCGCGCACAAGTTTGAGCACCACACAGTCTATATTGGTGAATCTCATGTTTTAAGAAGAAATGCGTCATTTGATAAAAAAATAAAACAAAATACAAACTTCACCCCTACCGGCTGTACATTGTTCCCTTTTACTAATAACTGTTTGACTATACATATAAACAAACAACCTGTTTCTGCCTAGTACACCAACCATTTGAGCGAAGAGCTACCGAGGAGTTATGGTAGGAGCTACTCCACTCATCAAATCACTCCCCGACACACTAAGCAGAGATGGCCGCTCACCGACTCCCCCACCGTTGCTGCTGCTCGTGTAAAATGCAGCTGAAGCTGATGATGATGATGGCCCCTCGACTGTACAACTTGAACCCGAAACCCCAGTCTCCGAAGGCCGGTCTTCGTCGACGTAATCGGCAACAGCGAGAGCAGCTTCAGCAGGAGGCATCATCTTGACGATGACCTCCAGCTCCCTGACGACCTCTGCCACGGGAGGCCTCGTCTCGGGCCTCTCGTTGCAGCATCTAAGGGCCAGGCTCACCAACCTCTCCACGCATTCGGAAGGGTATGAACCCATTCTGCTGTCTATGATGGAGAACATCATCCCCGAACTGTACGCCATCTTCACCTCCCTCACTATGTTCTTCCCGTGGGAGATGGGTTGCATCCCCGTCAGCAGCTCTAGCAGCACAATCCCAAAGCTGTACACGTCACTCTTGTCAGTAAGCTTGTGCGTCAGCATGTACTCTGGGTCAAGGTATCCCTGCATTTATATACGTGCAGTTTCGTTACACATCTTCAATTTGTCAACTCAGCACCATAATAAAACACGAGCAACAGAACTTCAAAATAACGAAGATAACAATAATCTGATTTGCTGAAGTGGACAACACAAATTTTAACTCATACCCGATCCAAACCAAATAGTTTCCTCTCTCCAACTTCAACCCACAGTACCCAAGACCAACCTAGTTACTTTATGAAAGTACTTACCGGCGTTCCCCTTACTACGGTGGAAACATGGTTGGCCGCATTGCCTGCAGGCTCCTCGTCATCTTCCAGTGCAGGTGCTAGGCGGGAGAGGCCAAAATCAGCTACTTTGGCCGTCAGCTTTGTGTCCAATAGTATGTTGGTGGCCTTGATGTCTCTATGGAACACTGGAGGGTTTGCTTCCCTGTGAAGGTACAATATGCCCTTTGCTGACCCCAATGCCACGCTTACCCTCCTCCCAAAGTTCAGTACTCTCTCCTTGCTTCTACCTGCAATACCACCATTTGCCACAAAATAATTCACTTGCATTAACAGTGTTCTAAACTTCTAATGCTCATCCATCAATTAAGCAAAGAAAGGAAGGAATCGGAGTTAGTATGTCACCAGAAAGCCAGTCGCGCAATGTTCCATTGGGCATGAATTCATATACCAGCATCTGTGAACCAACAGTAAGCCAACAACCACCATTAAAGTACCTCAACCTGTGATCCAACTACATATTCACTCCAAATTTGAAGAGAATCCAAAGAAAGAAAGAACATTAGGCTGGGTACCTACCTGTTCCCCTTCCTCTTCGCAGTAACCGATCAAGGAAACCAGATTTCTATGGTGCAGTCTAGACAATAACTTAATCTCAGTCAGAAACTCCTTCTGTCCTTGCAAAGAACCTTCTTCAGCACGTTTTATGGCCACCACTGTTCCGTCTGCTAAAATGCCTTTGTACACCTTCCCATACCCCCCTCGACCAACTTCACTCGAGCTACTGAAGTTGTCGGTAGCCACAGCCATTTCTTTGAAACTGAAGTCTCTTACCCCATCTATTTTCATGGATGCTACTGAGGCTGCACGAAAGAACAACCGTAAGAAAATACATATCAATAAATCAGATCATGATCTCACCAAGCAAGGACATAGGGAGAAACCAATAATTCCTCTCTTTAGCAGCTTACATAAATGTTTCCTAGACAGTTTATGACGGTATCTAGCATTTCTTCTAGCAACCAGAAGCACCATTATTGCAAAAAGTCCAACCACACAGGCAACAGCACCAACCACAATGGCTGCTATGGCTCCCTTACTCATACTCCCCTTTTGATCTTCCAAGTTCACTGTTTGGACAGAAGAAGGAAAAAAAGATAGTGAACTATTGTACCATGACGCACATTAAATGCTACCCAGCAGTGCATTTAAAGTACATACTCTGAGAATAAGGTCCAAGTAGAGTGAAGTTGAGCAGCTCATATGGTCCAAACAGATCACTACCAGCGAAGCGCCATGATGTGAACCTACCCCTTATTCGTTGAACTTCTGATAAATTAAATGCACTCGAGTGTGTAGCATTATCCCATGCAGGAAAAATCTTCAGATACATTCTCAAACGGGGACCTTGTTCCCAGGAATGTGTATCGATCGATAACTCATAGAGCTCCAACCCAAGAGAACTGGTTATGTAGGTCACAAATTCGACAAGGTATGGCCGGAAAAATGAGAAACTGGGGCTCTTAAGTCGGTAGCCAATTCTAAGAGGCGCAGCACAAAAACACGGCAAAGGTGATGATGGGACATATTCGAAGAAATCATCGGTAGGGCATGCCTGGACTGGACAGCTTATGCTGGACATTGTTGAAGACCTTTCAATAGCAGTCCAATCTCCCACTCCAACACCAGATTCACAGAATTTGCCAATGTTTGCTATATTAGCGTTCTTGCAGATAGGATTGCCTTGCAGCCTAAACAAAAACTGCCATAATGATCAGAAACTGGGGAAAAAACACAATTCTTAAGTGAATATACTAAGATCACTGTACATGTCAAATTCAAAATTACCACCTTAAGGTTACATTACTTGGTGGATTTAGTTCTCCTTGAACACTCGAGAATGAGTTCTCCCTAAGATCACTGTGATTATCAAGCACGAGTTAGAGATTCTGATATATGAATGTATCATATCAATGTCACCTGAAAAAGTCTAGAAATTAATACTTACAGCATTAGCCTAGCAGATGAACCCCACGAGATATTCCGCCAGATTGTAGTTGGAACAAAACCAGTCAACATATTATATTCAACTGACCTGCAAGCAAAGTTTGTCTTCAGATACAGAAAGCCATTGCAATATGACTGCTACCGAGCACTGTCACTATATTTCCTTCAAAGAAAAGTTCCCAAACAAAAACAGTAAAAATAGAGTCTCACAGTGATTGAAGCAAGGGAAGATTAGAATAACTCGCAGGTATAGATCCATTAAGGCTGTTATGGGAGAGATCACTGCAATTAAACAGAATATGAAAAGTTAGTACCCTTCAGTTAGACGCTAACTAATTCACTCATGGAGAATGATTGAAAATAATATATTTCCCCTCCTTGTTTGAATGTCATTGAGCTAAAGATTGCAAAGTCTGGGCATTACTCACATAGCTCTCATATTATCAGAAAGTTCTGCTGGTAAAGGTCCAACAAGGCTATTCTGGCTCAGATCCCTGTAAGGTGAGCCAAATGACATGTTAACAGATATAATTGCATCACTAAAATTAGTTAAACGTTAAATACTATTGTTCACCAATCACCATGATGTAGAGATACTACATACAAATACAGAAGACTCGTTAGGCTGCTGAAGTCAGGAATAGCACCCTGGAGGCTGCAATTTCTAAGACTTCTACCTTGTCACAGGAGAAAAGATGCAACTTTCTTTAGTACCAAAATCAAACAGCACTCATGCAAGTAATTTGAAGTTGTTGTCAAGCTGACTGTATGTACAACGAGCACACAAATATACTATAGGAAAGGACTCACAATTTCAGTAGTCTTGACATGTTGCTGTACGTAACTGGGATGTGAGATCCATTGAAGTTGTTGTTGTCAAGCTGACTGTACGCACGAACAATTCCTCTAATGTAAGCATGTTTTCTCTTGCCAGGATTAAGATAATTGTGAATATTTGAAAAAACACATCCTATGGAAAAACGTATGAAAAGAGTAACAAGAGCACAAGAGATCCAACAGGAATTCAAGGGACGGGGACACATACAGTATACGCAAGACTGGCAAGTTTGACAGTTCTGATGGAAGATATCCAGATAAGTTATTGTTATCCAACAGCCTGCAAATATTGGATTCAGATAATGAGACGTCCTTAAGTACCCACTGAGGCTGACATTTCAAATCAACTAACGAACTTACAAATGCAAGAGGCTCGATGCTTGGGAAAGCTCAGATGGGATTTGACCACTGATTGAGTTGTTGTTCATGTGCCTGTAGTGAGTATGCAGAAGAGATATTATTACACGTGAGAAAGCTATCCCACCACCAGCAGAGTAATTTGAAGAACTACTAGCAAGGTCATATGGAGATCAAACTTACAGGTGTCTCACACTGCTCAAGTTGGCAAATGATTTTGGGATTGGACCTGAGATCTCATTCTCGTCCACTTGGAGTCTATTTAGATGGGACAAATAGCCTAGCTCAGGAGGCAGTGGACCGGATAGTTTGTTCCCATTCAATAGCCTGGTAAACAGAACAGAAACACAAGAAAAACCCTCAGGAATGGCGAAGCATATTTGCACAAATATCAATATGTTGTTCTTGAAGAAGTTACCAACTTACAGGAGTTTCAAAGACGAGATGTTTCCTATCTCTTTGGGTATATAACCACTCAGTTGATTCCACATGAAATCCCTGGATAGAAAAAACCAAGAAACAAGCATCAGATAGACAAAGGCCACAAGATTGCAATTTTGCAAAATACAAAGCAGAAAACATAGTAGCAGATCTGTGAGCTCACAATATCTGGAGACCAGAGAGCAGGCCAAGCTCAGGGGCCAGAACACCAGAGAGATTCATGTTGAGAAGCTGCCTACAATATTAGTTCAAATAGATGCAATAGCTAAGCGTGAAAAGCTGCAGAAATTCATGCTTCTCTGTAGGATAAGGGAGTGAAGGAGGCACTTACAGCTCCCTAACATGAAGATATCCATCGCTACCGATTGCATCGAAGCACGAGACACCAGTCCAATTGGAAGTACAAGGGTCCCCCTCCTTATTCCAATTGTGAAGATGTCCCATTGGATCAATCAACTGATTCTTCACCGCAACTAATGCACCCACTGCCAAAAAACACCCAGATACAGAGAGCATGTTAATGTATGTAATAAAATAGAAGCCATAGTCATCACAAGAATTTGAGAGTACAGTATCCTTTATGATTGGGTCACCTTCCGTCGGATGAGTAACGTGTGCAATAGCGAGAATGAGCAAACAACAGCAAGACGCCGTGAACACGCATGCTCCCACTGTGAGTTTCGCCATATTTGAACCTCACGCCTTCTTCTTCTTCTTCTTCTTCTTCTTCTTCTTCTTCTTCTTCTTCTTCTTGTATCAGTAGAAGGGGAAAGTCAGGACTGGAATGACAGAGAAAAAGAAAGTAAAAGTCTCAGTCTTTGTTGGGAAGAGGTAAGCCGAACCCCAGAGGCCAGAAGCAGAAGTGAAAGCAAGCAAGCAAACAAGCTTGCCCCTTTTATGTGGGTATGGATAAATGAAATTGTAAGGAGGGTGGGTGGGGAAGAGAAGGGGGGAGATGTAAAGGTTTTGACTTTTCAGAAGTGGATGGGATGGGGAAGGGCAGGAGGAGGATGCTGCCAAATTTGGAGTACATCAACAAATTTAGTACCGGGAAGAAAACATGGGGATGCATTTAAAGAGACATACAGAGGAATCAATAAATGAGATGAATGTCATCATAACATAGGAAGGAGTGAGGATAGATAGATCTTCTGGGAGACTGAGAAAAATAAAAGCTTACCCAGTTGTTCAGTTGTTGTTGACAGCGGCGGCGCCTGGTACTGGTGAACAACAATCTGAAATAGCATAACATAATAATGATATCGAATTAAAATGGAACAGGATGGGCGATGAGAACGAAGGGGGAAGGTTAAGAGAAGAAGCAATTGTGGAAGCACGCTGTTAATAATAAAATCAGGACTGGGAAAATGACGGGTGGGCAGAGAGAGTACCCAGAGCAAGCAGAGAGGATAAAAGTGCTTCCGTTCCGAGTCAGAACTTCTGACATTATCACTAAACAAATGGGAATGCACACATACGCACTTGTTTATTCTGCAACTATTATTATAAGAAAAATGATGTTGACATGCCGGCGGTGGACTTTTCATTTCTTACCCTGCCCCCTCCTCCTGAACTGAAGCCTTCTTTTTCACTTTAATTATTATTATTATTATTATTATGTGATACTCTGACTGACGGCGACAATCCGGCGATGAAAACGGGAAGAAGAAACGGAGAGGGAAATGAATCCGCACCACACCCTCCAAGGAGAGAAGAACTCTCAACAGCCGCCGCACTGCAGATATGCTTATCAAGGGCATGGCTGACTGAAATGCGAGTGTTACTTTCTTCCCCAAGTTGGAGTTAATAAAAATCTTCCCTCTAGTTTTTATGCTATCGAGTACTGTACATATTAGTTGGAAGGAATTAATAAAAATCTTAAAGGTTCTATACCATACCATGTATGTTATTGTTAGCCTCTGCTATACACATCCTCTCATAACGACTCTGGAAAAAGATAAGAATGGTAATCAATCTCTGGTTTGCCTTGCCACGAAGATCCACTACCGAGGCAAGGACAAAACAATTAATGTATCCTATTCATGACAACAACTACTGGCACATGCAATTCCATTGAAGACATCTTCATTTCTACTCGTCTTTTTGTTTGGTTGTGGAGAAATTTTATCCAGAACTAGAACCGGAGGAGCAAAACAGAGCCTCCCCTAAACGCAAACTTGTGAATTGTGCTGGCCGCCCGCCCCTCGTCAGTCGCCCGCCACAAACGTATATTCCTTGTCCTTACTCGTCTCGATTAAATCACAACAGCACTCACTATTTTGTTATTTATTAACAAGTGCAAGTGTAATCAATACCATCAAATCCAAACAAGCACGTAAGCACGATCAAAGTGACTATTCGACCAACTTCAGAGTAAAACGAAAGATCAAAGGAAGCCAAGGAAACGCAGAGACTAACGAGGTCGAATGGTGGGAATGACCCCACTAACAAGATCACTCCCACGGTCAGGGAAGCCACCGCCAGCTGAAGCAGAGGAAACAAACGTTAACGTGTCACCACCGCCGCCACTGCTACTACTGTCCCCGCCTCTATAGTTGCCCGATCGCATGGCAGGCGCCGACCCATAGCTCCATTTCCCTCCGGCGACATCGCCCTCCTCCAGCTGACCGTCAGATGATGTCATCGACGAGCAGAGATCCTCCAGCTCCCTGACCACCTCGGACATGGTAGGCCGGGCCTTAGGGTCGTCGTGGGAGCACCTTAGGCCCAGGCCCATAAACTTGTAGGCGCACCCTCTCGGGTAAGATGGGCCCAGTCGCCGGTCCACTATCGACTCCATCATCCCAGTCTCCCACGCCAACGAAACCTCCCTCACAATGTTCTTGCCATGAGAAATGGGCTGCATCCCAGAAACCAGCTCCAACAACACTATCCCCATGCTGTATACGTCGCTCTTCTCTGTTAGCTTGTGGCTCCTGAAGTACTCTGGATCCACGTATCCCTGGGAAATCAAATGAAATGATGGATGCATTAAACTCTTGGCTTGTGGGTTGGGGGGACACCTTCTTCACCTATATAAATAAGACACACAAGTTAACATCCAAACCAATTTTACGAGGACTTACAGGAGTTCCTTTGACAGCAGTGGAAATGGGAGCTGAACTTGACTCCCCGTATGATCCATATCCATCATCAGTCTCGTCGTCCGTTGTTTTGGGGACGAGCCTAGAGATGCCAAAATCCGAGACTTTAGGCGTGAGCTTGGAGTCGAGCAGAATGTTATTGGCCTTGATGTCTCTGTGGATGATCGGCGGGTCTGCTTCCGCATGAAGGTACAGAATCCCCTTGGCGGCACCCAACGCTATGGTCAGCCTCGTCCCTAAGCTTGCTGCTTTCTCATGCCTCCCTGCATTTTTTTATTTTATTTTTTGTCTCTTCTTTTTCATATCGCTTATACAGACAACAAATTCTTTGGGAGAAAGAAGCCTTAGTTTGCGTGATATAGCAGTGTTGAAGCAAGAAAGAAATGTACCGCAAAGAAGGTCGTGAATTGAACCATTTGGCATGTACTCGTACACCAGCATCTGCTCTCGCAACCAACAAAAAGACAAATATTGAAGGATTAATGTTTGTAAGGACTAAGGGGTGGAAATCGACATGTCGTCTTGTATAAGCATACCTGCTCCCCTTGTTCGTCACAGTAGCCAAGCAAGGAGACCAAATTGCGATGGTGGAGCCTAGAGAGGAGCTCAATCTCAGTAAAGAACTCTTTCTCACTCGTCAGGGAACCTTGCCTCGCACGCTTTATCGCCACCACAGTCGTTCCGTCTCCTAAAACCCCTTTGTAAACCTTGCCGTACCCGCCCTGCCCAATTTGAGTGCTCCCATTGAACCCACTCGTTGCCTTCTCCAGCTCCTCAAATCCAAACTCCTTCACTCCTTCTATCTTCAATCCTATCTTTGGAGCTACACATCATATAATTACATAGGAGCAGCTCAGTTTACTTCTGCCACAAGCAATAGTAGAGAATCAAGGATGAGTAACTAAGATCATGGAAGCATCAATATTACTTGGCTTTCTTCCACCTGCAACTTGCTGCTGCTTACTCCGCTTCTTCAAGTGCCAAACAACCACAATGCCCACTGCTAATGCAATTGCACAAGAGACTGCTCCTAATATGATCCCCACTTTTGAAGCATTGTTCCCTCCTCCCTTTCCAGAAGGATTAAATATAACCGCTGCCAACCAATACAAAAGAGAAAGAAAACCAACACTTTCAACTAACTGCAATGTCTGCAACCTTTAACCCAAAAAGCAAGTATTATGAAATTTTACTATTACCATTTCCACTGAGTGTGAAGTTGAGCAGATCGTAGGGACCAAAAATGTTGTCACCAGTGATTTTGAAGTTGAAAAACATGTTCTGAATTCTCTGAGTCTCGCTTAAATTGAAATCAGTTTCATTTTGTGGCGGGAAGAGTTTGAGTTGCAATCTGAGCCTGGGACCTTCTTCCCACTGGAAAGAGTCCACTAGTAATTGGTATGATTCAATGCTGAGGTTGCCAGTCATGTAATTGTTGAAGTAGTCTCGGTAAGGGCGAAAATCTGAAATGCTGGGGCTCCTCAGCCGCAACCCAACTCCGAAAGGAGCTGCACAAAAGCAAGGGAGGGTTGCTGCTGGGAAATATTCATACCCGCCACTGCCTGGGCAAGATTGAGGCTTGCAGCCCCCTTCAACTGAACCATTTGAGATTTTGGGAGACTCAGCATCTGTTGTGGGCGTTCCACAGAACTGGATCAAGTTTGTCAGTGAGTCTGTACTTGTGCAAACAGGATTGCCCTGGAGCCTGGTTTAAACATCAACACATTTGGTGAGCTAAGTTGGTATTGTTGTAATAGCAAGACCTGTAATAATGTAGCCGTACAATGAAAAATTACACCATTGATGGTTCTCTGGTTTTCTCCAAAATTCTTCCGCTTGAAATGAATCTCACCTGACGCTAACGTTGACAGGTGGAGCTAGGAGGGATGAAATATCTGACAGGGAATTGTTCTGGAAGTCCCTGTATTGTCAGCAATGTGAATCATTTGAACAATACAAAAGCTACTTCAAGAGGGAGAAAACAAGTTTTAAACTTTTGACTTACAAAGTGAGTGTTGCCTCTGCACTAAAATTCACGCTCTGCCAGATGGTGGAGGGAACACTGCCATTCAAGTTATTGTTCTCTAGTGACCTGTTATGTTATGCAAATCGAAGATCATCGAAACATCACCAACGGCTGAGCTTGATAATCCTATTACCATCAGAAACAGCAATCTACTTACAATCTTTGAAGGCGTGGAAGGCCTGAAAAGCTTGAGGGTATAGGTCCACTGAGATAATTGTTGGACAAGTCACTGCAGTATTTGCAAACTTAGTAAGAGACAACCAAGGTCCAATTATGCATAAAAACTAGACACCATGCACTATGTTGAAAGAGAACTCATCTACTGCCTGAACTTTAAGTTGGGATAAAAACAGGCACACAAGAACTAAACTTTGGCTGGTAAGAGATTGGTGAAAAAGCTCACATGGTAGTGATGGTATTGGCAAGCTTATTAGTTGGTACGCTTCCAGTCAAGTTGTTGGACCTCAGGTCCCTGCAAGATCAATACCAAATGATAAAAATCGGGAGTTGTATAAAAACTCCATCTCTCAACAGTGAAAGACTTGCATACTTACAAGTAATAAAGACCAGGTATAGTGCTTAGATCTGGAACAGGACCTTGCAACTTGCAGTTCCTCAGAGTCCTGCAAATTCAACAGCTTGCCCCATTTATCAAGCCATCACTACAGTTATAGAGAGCTTCCAGACAAGGATCATTTTTGCCAACACAAGTTAACACAAATCCATAGATCACTCGCACACATGAATTGGAGAAACCAAAAGACCATTTCTGAAGAATTAAATGGTAACATATTAGCCGTATGCCAGATGCAAAATCTGGAGCTAGGAGGAGGGAAGGAGCTTACAATTTCAACAAGGTGGAAAAATTTGCGTATGAATCTGGAATCTGTGTCCCGTTGAAGTTATTATTGTTCAGTTGCCTGCAAAACAGCATATCATAGTTGACTTTAAATGAAAAAAGACAGTTGCAAACAAACATGACCGAGAAGTAGAAATACATTATCTTCAGCTTTGGCATCCGAGAATATTCTGGTGGAAGGTAGCCTGATAAATTGTTATTATCCAACAGCCTGTAGTGAGTTTAGCAGAAAGTGAGCCATTAAAAACCACGATTGCTACAACTGACACCAGGTGGGGATATTGAGCAATCATCAGAGAAAATAAGGAAATGGATGCCTCGACGTCTTAGCTTAATCGTTACCAACTTACAAGTGCACCAGTGCAGATAAATTATAAAGCTCCATTGGAAGCTGACCGCTGAATGAGTTGTTGTTCATATGACTGCAATGGAAAAGTACAATCGGCACATAAGCAAGAGAAATGGGATGAAGGGAATAATTGGGTTTAGTGGAATGGAGTGCTCACAAGTGCTGTACTTTCTCCAAATTGCCAAATGTTTTTGGTATCGGCCCTGATATCTGGTTCAGGTCCAGCTGGAATTTGGTTAAGTTAGGGAGAAAGCCAAGCTCGTCCGGTAAAGGACCTGAGATCCGGTTTCCACTCAACATCCTGCAAAATTCAACAAGAAAGAACAGTACGATTGGTTGTCAGGTCACATCATTTGTGTATCTATTATGGCTACAAAATTCAGATCTTTATAAGAGTTCATTCATATATATATATATATATATATATATATATCATACAGAATCTGCAAATAGTTCATTTTGCCAATCTCCTTTGGTATGCTGCCAGTTATGCTGTTCCACATAAAGTTCCTGCAATGAAACAGAAATTCAAAGAAGGCTCAGAATAAAACCAACGCAAGAAAGGGGATACCTGCAGTAACTCACAAGTAAATGGTGTAGTTCAGCTCGCCAAGCTGTGGAGCCAAAGTTCCAGTGAGGCTCATGTTCATCAAACGCCTGTTGTTATCAAACACAATTCGTTTTAGTTGGCAGAAGGAGAAAGAAAGAGGTTGGAAAAAGCAAGCAATACAGATTTATGTAGATTAAGAATCCATATAGTAAGTACAATTCTCGGACGTGGAGATAGCCATCATCAGAGGATGAATTGCAAATAACACCAGTCCAGTTCAAGGCACAAGGATTGTTCCCCTGCCAATTCTGGAGAAAGTTTTGCGGATCATTGAGGCTCCCACGGATAGCATTCAGAGCAGTAACTGCACGAACCAAACCAGAAGGGGGGAAGGAGGAGTCTTTATTAGCTATATCCTGTAATAATTTTGTGGGGATTCTACACGAGAGGGAAGTGTGTATTATTAAAAACCTTCCAAAGGATGAAGCAGCTGTCCTGAAGCAAACAGAACAAAGGTAGAGGACGAGAAAATAGTAACAAGAGCGAGCAGCACCATTAACAGCTGTCTCCCCATCCGTCTGCAATGAAACCAGGAGAGCAGAATGGAAGGAACAGGCAGACTTGCACTTCATTCGACACCAGCAGCAGTATATTTCACAGATGAGAAGGAAAAGAAGAAAAGTTCAACTGCAGGAAAAATAACCGAGATGTCAATGTTGTTATCAAATTATTTTTCTTTATTTTACTTGAAATGAGAGAATCAACTTGGCAATGTAAGGTGAGATGGTTAAATCATTGGAAAAAAAATATTAAGAATGAGGTCATATGTGAAACACTTGTGTAATAAATAATCTCTATATGTTGGGGTTGGGGGGGAAATTCCTACGCTCCACTGCAGTGGGTTATAGCTGACTATCTGACCAACGGTCTTTTTGCTTCTTTGGGGGCATTCTACTGCCTACTTGTTTCTTAACATAAGTAACCACCAGCTGACCAAGGGTTTCAGTTGGACTGAAATGTGAAATCAATCAAACACTATGATCATATTGTAATTTGGCAGTCGCTGCCAGCCAGCGTCAATGCAGTAGGCCAACAAGCTAACTTGACATATCCTTTACCTGACAGCAATGACCTGGTCCTCCAATCCCATCTTCTGCGGTTGACTTCAAATATACTTATCTCGTGAAAACTGTAAATAATACTTCAACAACCAATGCAGTATAAAGACTAAAAAAGGGTCTTCTACACGATGCAATCACCATGTCATCACATGAGCAAGTGGTAATTATATTAAGGTCCCAAGGCCAAAACAATAGTAAGCATAGCATTTGATTGAATACTTGCAACTTGCAAGTGAGACATGTTCAAAGCTCAACCCTGAGTACATGCACAGACAGATAATTAATTCATTACATCTTATGCAGTGCGAGGCAAATCAAATGGAGAACTACTCTAGGCCTATATTACAATCACTTCAAGAGATACACAAGATTGCTTACAGCAGGAAGTCCAAAGACTCGGATTCCACGGTTACTACTGGCTGCCATCCATCTTTGAGCTGGTGCCACATTCTTCACCTCTTCGAACAAGCCATTTCTACCACAAGCAGAATAATCAAACTCGGCTCACGCTGAACATGATTACTGGTATTTGGGGTACCAAAACATACCCTTGATGCCCTCTGGGTCAGCTTCAAAACCTAAATTCTGATAGAACTCCACAACTGCAAAGGGCAAAGAAGTACAAACATATCAGGCCACAAACTTGCAAAGAAGTTGATGACCAATAGATACAGTCAACAGCTGGTGCAACTTCAAATCTATCCAGAGAACTTAAGAAGGGCTTGGGCTAGAACACAACTAACTACGAGAGCAATCCATTTTTTAAGGTATCTATACCTTTACTATCAGCAAAAAGAGTTATGTTGCCAATGTCTCTCTGAAGAAGAGCTCTAATCAGCTTTTCAATAAGGGCCTTGCCAAGGCCTTGACCCTGTTCAGAATATTATATAAAAACAAAGGTCCAATAATGTCAATCTGAATGTTCAAAAGGTCTACAAGTAGCAAGAGTAAATACCTGGTAGCTAGGATCCACGATGACATCCCAAATGGTAGCATTGAAGGCATGATCAGATGTGGCACGAGCCATGCCAATCAGTCTCTTCTGGTCATTCTCTTCTGTTAAATAACTTCGCCAAGTACACTAAGATGTCCATCATAATAGTTTTGAGACCAGAGGAAACACTCTAGTTTTAAGCTTAAACAGTCAAGATCATGAGAGGGCTTCCCTATGATTTTTTTTTTCTTTCACATTGGACTATGTACCTGATCCAGGTGATATTCGTACAGAATGCAAGGTGACTACCATGTAGCTGTTTTCCAAGGCTGCAGCTAACTTTGTCAATGGCCTTCTAGGCCATCCTACCTATCAAACAGTAAGAGAAGACCCGTAATAGTTATTACTGAACTTCTGCTGATACTGATTATCTAGCCATTTCATCTGATGATACTGATTCACATTACCTTGTCACACAACGCTTCTAGATCATAAACATCAATATCACCCCCAGAAGAGAAAACAATTTGCTCGATGACTCCATCGGGTTCACTCCTTTCCATGAGTATGAACTCTTCAGGCAATGGCTCTTCCTCAGGGTCAGTGGTGGATGGAGGTTCAATAACTTGTGCAGAGTTGTTGTCTTTTATCAAACTGTGAAAGGAGTGCAGCAGAAGCACAAAGCTGTTAGAAGCATAATGTGGGACAGTCTAGGCAGAAGAAGGCGCGGGCATTGGAGAAAGAAACAGCAATACTATGATACCACATTGAGGTCATAGAGAAAAGGGTTTACCCAGTTCTAATGGATTCCCAGAAGTTACACCTGAGACGGGAGACCCTTTCCCTTGACCTGCTAGCTGAAGTGCAGAGATTTAGACAAAAGAAGTTGAGGGGCAGATGAGAAGAAAGTTGAGAGTAGTAAAATGGGGGATGCCACGTAGCAGTACACCAGGTTGGGCGGTGAAGTCAAACACGCCCGACTAAGCCAATATTATACAGCTGAAAGTAGTAAGTATGCGTAAGAAGGAACTGAGCGCGGGGAAGCTGACCCCGGATTGAACGGGGAATCTTCACCAAACAGAAGTCTTTTAGTAAAAGATGAAGCGTGGCAGCCAAATTATGCTTATTTTCTTATTACCTCTTCCAAATAAACCATAATTAAGATGGGAGGAGGGATGAGATGCGAAGCAACGGCGATGAAGCGGCGAACTTGTTGGGAACCTGAAGCAGAAGAGAAGGACGGATAAAGGAGAAGTTAGGAAACAAATAGATTGGGAAGTGAAAGGAGAGATGAAAGGGAAGGGAAACGGCCGGCCGGCAGGTGTAAGATTCAAAGAGGGTAGCTGCCCACAATTCCACTTGAAGACCAGAAGATGTGGATAGGGATTTGGGAGAAGAAGAAGAAAGAACAGATAGATAAGTGCGGGAGTGCTTACGTAAGCAGGCGGTGAGGGTGAGCGTGGATGACTGCCATACTTTCCGAAGGAGAAGAATCAAGAAGAGTGAGAATGGTTCGTCGTGGAGGCGATTGTGAAGTAACAGAGCATACAAGTCGTGGTAGCAAGGCGAGAATTGAATAGGAGCGGAGACGGCAGCTGACTGTCACCGTCGTTCGGAGATGAGACGCTGAAGCAGCCCCGGCAAGAACGTAACCGTATCCTCTGTGGGCTGGGCTCACTTGTGCTTCTGGTGGGTTGGTGGGCTTTATCTCCTCCCCGACGGCCGTGGGTCATTAGTAATAGGCTGATGGCAATGGGCGGGCGGGTACCTCAATACTCATTAGGCCTGTCAATTCGGTTTTGGATTTTCGGGTTAACCCAAACCGATTTTTTCATTCTCAGTTTTGGTTTTTTCGGGTTCAACCCGATATCTATAGTAGCGGTTTCGGGTTACTGAAATCCGCAAAACCGAAAGCAACCCGAAAACCAAAAACTGATACTGGGGCAGTGGGGCTTCACGCTGTCGTTTTGGGAAGGAGAGTCAGCCTCAGCCCTAGCTCTCGAGTCTCGACTCCACCTCGTCCTCGTTCTCGCAGCCGCAGGCGCAGTCTCACACTCTTCGTCTTCGCCAAACATTACTCATGCCCCGTCCTATGCTACTGTGGGTCAGGGCGGGTAAAACCCAAGCGGATACAAAGTGAGGCGGGTCGACCCACTATTATATGTTATTTGAAAAAAATACACACAAAAAATACACTTTATGGATGGAAAATAGTGATAATAGAATGGGTAATTGAGTCTAACAAGTTGAAAATTCGACTCTAACTAGTTGAAAAAGGTAAAAAATAAAAGAAATATATATAGATACTGCAAGAAATTGAGATAAAATGGGCCACCAATGTGACGGAACGGGGGCAGGGTGGGTCGGAAGTAGATATCCATGCCCTGCCCCACACTACTATGGGTCGGGTAATACTCGCCCCATTGTGGGTCAGGTCGGGTAATACCCGCAGGACGAGTTCAAATTGACAAATAGGTACGTACTCAACACATGCAACACGTACGTAGTCTATAACATCTTCTCTCTGCAAATCACTCTTACGCATCTTTACTACACAGTACACATTGCTCCCTATATTTTGTTTCTTCTTCTCTTCATTGCACCGCTCCGCTGCCTGATCCGCATCCACGCTCTCACAACTGCATCTGCTACGATCTCCACCTGCTCTCCTGCGTAAGTATTCTGATCCTACTTCCTTCAATCTGCTTTCGTCCTTTTGAATCGAATCGGTGGAGATTTTTGTGCTCCGTCGGTGGAGGTTATTTTGTTTTCTTCTACGACTTTGAGTTTGTATGCCGACTCGGTTTGGTTCCTCTCCTAGTTTGCAGTTCCACCTTCCGCATTTGGAAATTTTCAAGTTTCTGCATCTGAATTTCCGATTGTTGTTAGAACCGAACAGGAGCATGACCCGATAATGCGAACGACTCGCTCTTTAGTGGTCCAACCGACAATAGACCATTTAAAAACCGTTAGAGAGTCGGTACCTAATCAACATTATCAGTATAAATAGTGGACATTTCTTAATCAGAGCTCATCTCTTTTCTTTGAAATTGTGAAATGGAAATAAGGATTCAGTTTGAGAGCCCGATGTTTTTGGTTTATTTCAATTTTCTACAATTTTTTTAATTAAATTTAACGGTTGAATGGAAAAAACTGTACGAGCGGCTCGAGCGGTTAACCGCCTCGACCGCTCGCCAACTGCTACATAAAACCGGAGCAGCTTTTAGATTGTTCCGAGCCGATTTTGTGACCGGGTGGCGGTTTTATTATTCAGCCGGTCGGGCCGAGCGGCTCGGCTTTAATAACACTCAATTTCGAGTTCGGCTTGGGGCGATTCCGCGATTGGCTTTCGCTCTTGTTTTTCAATTGGCCGGAAAATGGATCGTTTATGCGTTTGTTTGCTTTATTTCTTTTGTTCTCTCATTTTCGTTCTCTTCTTCAAAAGTACATTGTATAGCAATAGCATATATCAGGAGAACAACCATGTTTTTGGAAATATATATCTTCAGTATAGCCTTCTCTTTTGCAGAAGGTATAGAATGGGCGTTTGTTGTTAGTGGTGCCCCTTCTGTTACCACCTTGAAAGGCTAGAGTTGAAGAATTTGATTGCAAGGAAGCAACCTTTCTGCCAGATTGAGTTCCATAAAGTTGTCTTTCATGTTGATGCATTCTTTGAAAAACCCTGTTGATATTGGGGAGCTCATCTCCAAACAGAACTTGTGCTCTGACCCCAGAAAAATTATCATTCAAGTCACAAAGGAGCTTAATAACATAGTTGGTCTCCTGATATTGGAGGACCCAAATCATAGTTGCACAATCATTATGGTTTGTTGGTTTACAAGCACAAGGAAGCAAGGGTTGATAGTTCCCTAGTTCTATCTCTTAAGAGTAATGACACGATCATAATACTCTATAAGTACTGTTTGATTACCTTGTTGAAGATTAGAAAGAGCTTCTCTTCAAGCTCAACTATTGCCTATTCTGATGAGATCTCCATATCCATAATGTGTCTGGAGGCTTTTCCATGCTTCTGTAGCAGTTTTGCTGGAAAGTAGAGTTTTCTTATTTGTGGAGAAGTGGATTGTTGTATCCAACTGAGAACCATGACGTTGTTGCGTGTTCAAGCGCCATGTCTAGCATTTGTAAATGTTGGTTCTAGAATGGTACCGTTGATGAAGTCAATCTTGTTTTTGGCTGCGAGAGCATTGAACATTGTCCTGCTCCAGTCGTTGTAGTTTGTAGTTGTGAGCTTTTTACCCACAAGAAGAGATCCAGGCTGGTCGAAGCCATGGAGGAAGAAGGGGTTGGACGGAGGGTCAACAATAGCTGGAGCAACATCATTTGGTTGCTCTGCCTGTGGCTGTGCTTGGGCTTGATTTTCAGCCATCAAAGAAAATGGAGACGGCTGCTAGGGTTCTATGTTAGGCTCTAATACCATAACAAATAAGTTGGGAGTGAATAAAAACTTTAGAAAGTTGTGTTTCTCATTGCAACCCCTGCCTCTTGTAGGCAGACCAAACCATAACAGGACAAGCTCCATTTCTAGTTTGTTTGGTATTTTGGAAAGGAAAAATTACAGGGGTCGTTTGGATGCAGGATTGTAATGAGTTATTTGTGAGGGAATTTAAAACAATCTCTCTTTTTGCAGGATTTTAAAACAATACTGCGTTTGGAAAGATGAAGAATTGTGGGTATTAGAGATTTTGAAATCTCTCAAATGTAGGTTTTTAAAATAGCTGATGGAGATCAGCTATTTTACAATCCCTATTTTTTGTTTCATCTTTCCAAAGCCTACCCTTCATTCCTCTTCTCCGATCAGTTTCAACCAACAACAAATAATAATTGACCTCTGTTCCGACTTCTTTTTTTTATTCTCCGACCAGCCTCAATCGACGACAACACTAAATAATCCATGCAACCCCTCTATCTCCTACTCTTCCTCTTCCTTTTCCTATTTTATTTTGAAAACACATCCCAAGCTCTCCTCGGCACTAGAAGAATAATCGTTCTTCTTTCATCTCTTCCTTGCAACCCTTCCCTACCGGCCACCAATACTATGTTTCTAATCAACGGCCAAGGATGGGGATTACAGCGGGATAGTACGTCGTTGAAATTGAAGATCCGGGTTTGCGGCGTCCGGGAAGGGGAATGGGAATGGGCGGCATACCGGGATCCACCAGAGGGAGGACAAGAGAGGGTTTGGGATCTATACGACGATTGTTGAGCGATTTCAGCGTTTGGGCTTTCCTTTGAATGTTGGGTTTGGTGAATTGCTTGTGGTGTTGAATGTTTATGGATGGATATAGCCCTCGAAGATACTTGATGAAGGCAAGGAGGAAGCCGACGATGGTTTCATCGAAGAACAGGGTTTGGTGAAAAGAATGAATAGCGGAAGAAGGTGAAGAGCTAGTAGAAGATGGGGGGCACTAAAGTAATTTGGGATTTCAGCTTAAAATTCCGCGTTTCAATTCAAACGAGTTATTTCAGCTAAATCCCACATATAAATTCTCCAGTATTTTAAACGAGAGATTTTAAACCAAATCCCTCGTTATCAAAATTACTCATCCAAAAACCCCACAAAATTTGGTAGAAAAGTACAGCCATAAAGAAAGAAGGAACGACATCGTTTCATGTTCCGTTTAAACATCAAAACGACACAGCGTAGCAAGTTAGGACAGTTATAACATAAGGATAATATCTCCAGCCAACAGAGATGGAAGAAATTATTCGGGCCCACAAGTCACAAAGTAATGGCACAAGTAGTGTAGTGTAGTGTAGTAAATTGAAACAAATTGGAAGGTAGGTAAGATCAAGAACAAAAAATGAGAGCAGAGCACGATCGAGTTGCCAATGAGCGCCAGGATTGGTACATATGAATGGGTGAGACCGGTGATCATCATGATTTATGAGCCTAAATTTGCGAGAAGCTTCTTGCGAATCTGCATGTAGAAGCAAATTAAGCATATGGTTTCGCATGGGAATTAGTTAATTAATTAATATCATTACAAAAAGGCGCTCATTGTGTAAGTGTGTACGGACCTGAGGAAGTTTCTGTCTGAAAGCAATATCTAATCGAGCGTCTAAGGTGTTCTCGCAGACAATCTTCCCATCTTGTGATGCCAGCACTACTCCTCCCGTGCTTAAATACGTACGTACGTAGGCACAAAACATTACACAAGGTTAATATATATATTAATTAATTATATCAGTGCTACGGCCTACGTAATGTACGTACGTTGTTATATATAGTAATTAATAGTAGATTGGTACGTACGTACCAATGAAGGCCGTGATGGGAATTGGCGGAAGGAGCAGGAGGGAGGTAGACCTGCTTGTCGACGGTGATTTGGGGCAGCGCCACCTTGAGCTTGTCGGCGTATTCCTTCTTGGCGTCCTCCAGCACCGACTCCACTGCTCCACGGTCAGCCTCTCTGCACCTCAGCAGCACCGACTTCTCCTTCA